TGTGCGACTGTGCGCACAGCTCCAGCTCGTATGACTGTGCGCACACCTCCAGCTGTGTGCGACTGTGCGCACAGCTCCAGCTGTGTGCGACTGTGCGCACAGCCTGCAGCAACCTGCAGGTGCGTGGTCAGTGCCAGCAATTCCCACAGCCAGGTTGTCAGGCCGGGCTCCCAAAGCCCTCGTCCGCCGGCCGTTTGCTCCAGCAGCTCCAGGGCAAACACCCGGCAAGGCGGGAGCTGCCCCTCTCCATGGACCCATCCGCAGCTGGGTGAGAAGGGGACAGCAGGCCAAGCAGGGGGACGCCCGGGGATGGACAAGCTGGCCTGCATTGCCGCCCTGTGGCCGCAGCGCCCTGCAAACAGCCCYGCGGCTCCCTGCAAACAGCCCCGCGGCTCCTGCATGGGTTTTCCTGCCCGAAAAGAGGCTGCCAGGCTCATTCCAAGCGGGATCTAACGCTCGCCGTTTCAGAGTGTCCTTTGCAGAGACCTCGGTGGGCTCTAGGGAGCTGCGTCGCGTCCCTTGTGCCTGATTCACCACGTCTTCGCTTTGCCACAGCCACAGCCTCAGCAATGGCCAGCAGTTACCACGTTCAGAAGGCTGCTGCGGGCTGTGACCTAACATGGCTTTTCGCCTGTGGGTTGAGGAATGGTAAATAAAAACTGTTCTGGAACTGAAAGCTGCGTTACACTCGCTGCAGCCCCCAGCAGAGAGCATCGAGAGGCCAGGGTGCTGCTTTCAGCTCTGTGATAGAGCGCAATTTCTCCGTCAGTTCGAACAACAGAGGTACAAAGGGATAAAAATAAATGGAGGGAAAAAAGGCACTTCTGTAGAAGCATTAGAAGAAGCAGCAGCATCAGCAAACACAGCTAAGGCCAGGCAGAGCAGCACAGCTYCTAGACACCTTCTTAGCTCAGTATTCTAACGTTGCTTGACACCCACAAGGGCACAAGCGCCTCCAAAGAGCTCGTCTTCTACACTTCACGTGGAGCATCAGCCACTCTGGCTTCATTTTCCATGTCTCAAGATGCCAGAATGATGCAGAACCCAAATTTAAAAACAAATAATGAAAAAAAAAAAAACTTGTTATCACCAGCTCCCTTCTACTAATTTCACTTTTCCCCTTCTTCCGTCTTCTTCCCTCCTGCATTTTTTTTCTCTTTCAATAAACTTCCAGAGTCCATCAGTCCCCACAGTGTGAATCTCCCACGTGTTACCCTCCCCAAAAAACACACCGAAACTCCTATTACTGTTGGCAGCAGCTCGCCTGAGGAATTTCAGCTTGTCAGCAAGGCACGACCTCTCATTCCTGGAACCATCCGGCCCAATCTTTGATCGAGTTGGGTGTTCTCGTTTGGCCCRCGTTTGATCCCCTCCGAGTAGTTCCTGGGTGTCTCCCACCCAACACGCAGTCAACCCAGAACATGCACGGGCCCGTCTGCCATTAAAATAATAATAATGATGACGCTAATTGCAGCCCGCAGAGAAACCCGCACGGTAAAAGAAGGTTGAGGAAGCCAGGGCTGAGCCTTCAAAGGCTGTTTTATACTGTGATTCAAAAAGCTGCTTTTGTTTCTCCTCCACCTAACAGAAGCAGGGATATGACCACAGCGTCTTCCACACTAAGCTAAGACGCATCAGAAGCTGTACATGGATTTAAAACAAACAACAGCAATAAGAAAAAAAAAGAAAAAAACAGATTCCATAGTTTTCACAGCATTCAACTCCTTATGCAAGGATAAAGTTATATTTAAGGTCTTTGAGGCTGCTTTGGAAAGCAAATATGTGCCTGGAAAACACCACACCCTGCTCTGCAGAGCGTCTTGCTTAGTACACGCAAGTGGGTAGAAAGCAGTGCCACATGATCCCTCCTTCTACGCTGCCAGATAAGGACTGGTGTTTCCAAAGAAATCTAAATAGCAAAGGGTGCACGTGGAGTATTGAACAATCTAAAGCATCCCGTTTCGTGATGCACGTTCTGCATACACAACATTTAGGTCTCCCCTCTCACTTGCCCCCATCTTCGTTTCCGGGAGGTTTGTTAAAATCCTCCTCCCGTCTCTCGTGCCCCGTTGCTTTCCCATCTCCTCTCAAATCCCACAGTCTCTACATGGACTGATTTCCTGCTCTCTCCTCTATCGCAGCCAGCTGGAAGCAGCTCCAGTTCCGAGGGTCACTCTGGAAAAGAAACCGTGTTTAAGAATTCCGGACGAGCTCCCTGCATTCCTTATGGGTGGCAGCTATCACTTGGAGGCAAGCTCTGGTAAAGGTTTGGAGTTGTTTTCTTGTCCTTACACTCATCAGCTGCTATTTTCATTTGCATTTTGACATTGGCTAGGCCACAAGCTGCATTTGGGCAGCCGGTCACCATTATTAGACTCCCTTTTCCTACCGGAAGCACTGACATCCTGGCTTCCCAGAGAACATTCCCAGGAAAGTGCCCCCTTGGCACGAATTGGTAAGTTTTCCAGCAGTGTGGTGTTACAGGAGGTATTTCACATTCACACGAGTGTGATAACGAGGATCAATTGAAGTAAACCCAAATGCCCCCAAGCTCCTCAAAGGCCGCTTGTACCTCGGGAGCACTGTTGTCCTGCCGAGGGTACCTACAGCAAGGCACACACAAGAGAAGGATCCTGTTGCTGCCACACAGCTCAGCAGCTGCAAGCAGCAGAGCAGGGAGGTCAGGCTGGTAACGAGAGCCCTCTGGGAAGAATGTGCACAGTTTATTAGAGGCCAAAAAAAATTTTATTGGGCATAAAAGCCACTTGGAGTTCTCAGGCGAGCCATCCGTGTGTCACCTCGCCACGGAAAACAGCCATCCACAACCCACAGCACCAAGATCTCCCCAGCATCACCCTTAAATCACGCTGCTAGAGCCTAGAGCTAAGAGAACCTCCTTCCCCTCCCCTTCCCCTCCCTTTTGTTCTTTTTTAGTAAATGAGAAAGCACTTGACATGTATTTACTTGCAACATGAGCTTTGCATAACCTAGGACTTAAGGACTTGGGGCTTTGGGGATGCTTATGAAAGCAGTAGGAGAAGGTCTAGGTTTGTCTCAGCCTCGTCGCTCCGGACAGTAATGATTTTCCAGTTCACAACATTCTTCCCCCGCTGCAGTGGACTGATCAGCTGCAGTGTAACACACAGCCCAACTCCTGAGTGTGCGTTTTCACTGGAAAATATTTATATTTAGGAATCTTTGGGAAAAAAAAAAAAAAAAAAAAAAAAACATTACCCATTCTCCTAGTTCCACACCCCAGGTTTTAAGTCTGTAGAGAAAGATGAACAGAAATCCACATGGAGTCAATCCCCCCGGTAAGTTATGTGTCCTTAATGCAAAGTTAGCTGAGGTGGTCTGACAGAGCCAGGCTTTATTTCATTTTCAAACACTGAAAACTTTGCAATGAAGCCCTTGAATTTAGAATTTAAGTACTGCTTCCTACTGGCCTCTCTGCTCACGATAAAAGCTGGTTGGGATTGGGATTTGACACTTCCACATTGTCCTCAAAGCATTGGGCTCGAAAACCTGGACAAGGGTTTACAGTTCCATGGTGCAGGCAGGAATATTCTCTTACCAGGAAAGTGTCTGTTCTCCAGTCACGGTCTCCAAAGCGAGAGCGCCAGTTTACACCATTTCAAGTGCAGAAAATTGATTTACTCAGCGGAGAGCTAGGTCCTACATTCACTAACATTAAATAATACTGCTAATTTCTTACGATGCTTTGCTGAGAGAAACATTACATTTGAGCAGATGGCTAGCACGTTATTTGAGCAGTGACTGTTGATTACAAACTGCACGTTAAAACCTAAGGCAAAATAGTGATTGCCTTGGAACCTAGCGTGGACTTGTCCCAAAGGGCTGTCGGCGAGTGGAAAGATGATTTCATGGGAATATGACTCACTCCACATTTAGGAGAATTTGTGAATACCACCTAGGACCACTGAGCAGGGCAAACAACTGCAGCTAGTGGAGGCACCACGTCACGTTTTCAGAAAATATCCCAGATCAGATATCCCAGAGAGCCCCACAAGCCTTGGAAATTCAGTACCCACGCTTGGGGAAAGCAACAGTCGGCTTCTCGGGAAGCACCTCCCAAAGATTCCTCTCTGAGGAGGCCTTTAGAAGAGGGTGGCTTTGAAAAGCGGTAGGACACAACCTGGAGACTCCCTTGAGACCCAGAAAGCGGCTCTGTTTAAGCAGCAGCCAGCAGAGCTCAGGGGCTTGGGGCTTTGACCCTGGAATATGCTACCATTGGAACGGCTATTTCGGGAAGCAGTAATACTGAAGTACCAAAAAATACCGTACTCGTGGAGAGAAGGTCACAGGAGATGCTTGCTGCATGTAGCATACCTCTAGATGCTGCTAAATTAAAATCAACTTGGCATTAAAAATAGCAGTCTTTAATAAGAATACTACTCAAAGTACGTTCGTCCTAAACAGCGTACCGTTCAGTCCCTCAGAAGCTTCTTGTCCCGATATGGACGGCAGGTATTTTATACAAATATTTATGCTTGACCAGGAGAGAACAGTGCTGCTTTGCAAGCAGGTCGCTCGGGCTCTGCGCTGTGGCTCACGCAAGGGCTTGCTCCGGAGCAGGGCAGACAAACGCAGCACCGAGCAACTAAATAGAGGAGTCCACGGTGAAGTGCCCGTTCTGCGAAAGTGTCCTGCGGTCTGTGGTGTTTAACTTCACTACTGTAGGGGTGTATCTGGAATTCCTGTAACAGACGAAGCAGAGGATCCTGCGGAAGGTGCTGCGCATCTCATTGTCCCTGTAGGAGTAGACAATAGCGTTTATCAACGAGTTGATCTCGGCCAGCAAAAGGACGTATTTCTCCACAGCGAGAACGTCGCAGCTCTTGCAGCCCAGGCCGTCCAGCAGGAGCACGACTTGTCCTGGTGTCCAGCAGATGACAAAGGCACCTGGGAAGAGAAGAACCCTCGTTAGAGGAAAGGCAGCTCCCTGCCCGGCCGCCCCGCTCGGAGATGCTGGGAGTCYGGAGGGCTGTGCTGCCATCAGAGGGACCTGGACGGACTGGGAGATGAGAAACCTCATGAGGAGGAACCAGGACACATGCAGGGTCCTGCACCTGGGGAGGAACAACCCCAGGCACCAGTACAGGCTGGGACCAACTTTCTGGAGAGCAGCCTTGCAGAGAGGGACCTGGGCATCCTGGTGAACAAGTTGACCATGAGGCAGCAGGGCCCTGGTGGCCACGAAGGCCAACGAGATCCTGGTTGCATTAAGGAGAGCGTCTCCAGCAGGTCGAGGGAGGTGATCGTCCCCCTCTACTCAGCCCTGGTGAGGCCACATCTGGAGCCTGTGTCCAGCTCTGGGCTCCCCAGGACATGAGGGATGTGGAGCTGCTGGAGAGAGTCCAGCRYGGGGCTATGAGGATGATCAGAATCCTGGAACATCTGCCCTAGAAGGAAAGGCTGGGAGAGCTGGGCCTGTTCAGCCTGAGGAAGAGGAGGCTGAGGGGGAACCTGATCAGCATCTATAGACACCTCAAGGGAGGCAGTGAGGAGGATGGGGCGGCCTCTTTGCAGTGGTGATGATCRATAGGACTAGAGGAAACGGCCACAGACTGAAGCACCAAAAGGTCCCCAGGAACTTAAGGAGCAATTCCTTGTCATTGGGGGTGCCCGAGCCCTGGCCCAGGCTGCCCAGGGAGGCTGTGGAGGCTCCTTCCCTGGAGCCCTTCCTGATCCGCTTGGACGCAGCCTGTGCCCATGCTCTGGGGTGGCACTGGGTGATCCCTAGAGGTCCCGGCCACCCTCAAGGGTTCTGCGCTCAGGGGAATTGCAGCTCGTTGGAAGCGGACGGTGGAAGTTTGCAGGAGTTCTCGCCAACAGTTAGGGCAGCTCAGCGAGCTCTGTTTTGTACCCCGGCGAGCTGGGCCGAGCACAACCACACAATGGGGCGGCCAACACGGAGACCGAGCTGGACGGGCTCCACGACTGAGTCAGCGGCGCCAGCCCGCCYGTCCTGCCCCCACCTGCAGAGCTCCTTGCCAAGGGTAAAGAGGGTAATTGGGGTAATTGCCGCTTTGCGCGGTGGGGCGGGAGGTGCCCGCGGTTCCTGCGCCCCCGCGCTTTGCCCGGCCGCCGTGTTAACTCGAGGGCTGACGCAAATGCCGCACTCGGCCCCGGCGCTCCCGCGGGACGTCACGTGTGGCYGCTGGGTGCTGCACCCTCCTGCCGCCTCCCCGGGGAGAGGGGGAAGGAAGAGGCTCCCTCGGAGCCCTGCGCCCGCAGCCCTTCCTGCAAAGCAGCTGCCGGCCGGGAGCCGCAGCCGGGAGGGCTGCGCACAGTGAGGGGCTTTTCCAGGGGTGTCCCCTGCAGACTGCAGGCGCCTGCACGGGGTAACCCTCCTCGCGAAGCCACGCGGCCGGAGGGCCAGCAGGGTGGCCCGCGCGGCCTCCTCTGCCCCAGCAGACATGACTTTGCCTTCTCGCATTGAAAATCCAGCAAAATAGGGCCTCCTGGCATGGAAGGGGATCCTTCCGTTGGAAGGGGATTGTCCCCATGGAAGGAGATTGTCATTTGAGGCCAGAAAAGGGACCTCTCTGCTCAGCAGTGTGGCTTTGAGTCTGGTCTTTACAATGAAAGGTTCTGTGCAGAGGTTCTGGCTCCAAAGATGGGAGCACCAAACAGACAGCACAAGCTGTAGGCCTGGGACTGCAAACCTGGCTGTTTTATTTGCTCCTGCAAATCTAGCTGTTTTATTTGCTCCTTGACGGGAACTACATATTCAGAAAGAACTCCCAACTTCTGCCTAACTTCTGCCCAGTCAGGTCACTAGTGACTCAGCTGTGCCATTGCTCACCCTTAGATCCCGTCCTGCAGAACTCATCTGCAGGAAAATCGGCGGTTGGTTTCTTGAGGTGCCTCGGACRACTTGTCACTGCTTCTGGGGGTGGTTCTGCACCTCTTCCTAATGCTGATGACCTAGGGGTTAAACCTCTCCTTCTGGTGACACCCACGGAGCTTGGGCTGCTCCCTCGGCCTCCCGAGCAGCTACACCCTCTGATGCATAAGGTGCAAAGTATTCCTGTGYGCAGGCCAACTTTGCAGAAGGCCACGGATTAGGGCGGAGGAGGCTTTGGGCCAGGGCTCTCACAGGCAGGACGAGAACTGCGGGCAACCGCGCGCGCTCCAAGCCCCGACGGGAAGGTGCTTTCCCAAGTGGAGCAATCCAGCCCTCCCTCTGGCTGCGTTTCCTCCTGCAAAGCGCCCGTGCAACCCGGCCCCGTCCTGGCACTGCGCCCCTGGAGAAGCTGCGAATGCCGGGGGTCCGTGGGGGGGATCRCACGGGGCTGACACCCTCCTCATCATCCCTGTCTGCTCTGTCCGTCCACAGCCACCAGCTCCTTGGGAAACCGCAGCCTCTGCGCGGAACCTTCTGCTCAGTTCTGCTCGGAACCTTCTCCGACCCAACCGTTTTCCTGCCTCAGGACGAAGGACAAAACCAGGAAAACAGGGATCCAGAAGAAAGGGGCTTCCCAGAACAAGGAGATGCATTTTATTTCTCTTCCAGGCCAACATTCCCCTCCTCCCGACCCTGTGCTCCTGCTTGATCTCATGCCACAAACTAAAGCAATCCCGCTGACCCCCGGGGRGACCACTTAGCAGCGTTCAGGGAGGAAGGGGGAACAAACGGAGCGATTCCCGCCCCTGCCCGTGCAAAATACACAAAGCAGCAGCTCCGCAGCTCTTCCCAGCCTCCGTGCTGCTTCCCGGGGGCTCTGCCCTGCCTGCCCACGAGAGCGGCCGYCGAGGGGGCGAGAGGAGGACGCCGCGCGCACCCCAACAGCCCAAACCCCCAGTCTGGGTGTCCGCAGGCTGCGGTGCCCCCGCCGAGGAGCCAGACGCCTCGGCCCCTTCCCGACAATCCCCCTCCCGCCGAGCCGGCTCTGCCGGCGGCAGTTTGCAAGGGAGCCGGCGTCTTTGTTTGCAGCTACAAGGTTTTCCTGACGGAGCAAATTCTGCACTTATCAGGAGAGATTTGCAAGCAAAGGCTTGGGAGCACAAGCCCGGAGCCCGGCTGGGTCGCGGGAGACCCCAACGCCCTGTTTTCTTTCACCAAGAACAAACAAACAAAACCCCCTATATATTAAAATATGAGACAAAAGCAATTAAGAAAAAATAGTGCCTGCTGTGCTGCTGAAAGCACCGTGCAGGGGCGCAGCAGCCTCTGCTTTTAGGAGATCAACAATGTTTTGGAGAGACACAGCGACGCGCAGAGACGCCCTCCAGCTCTTTACCGGGGGCTGCTGCTGCTTGGGGGTTTAAAGAGCAGGAGCCTACATACAAAGGCCTTCTAAAAGGAGGACCAAAGCAGGGCTCGGCTCCCTGGAGCACAGCTATCTGTTTGAAAGCAGCTKTATCAATTTTTATCAGTTGCCCCCTCCCTAAGGTGCACGGCCCCGGGCAGAACAACATCCACTTGAGCAAAACTGAGTATTCTGGAGAGGGCTGAGGCTGCAAAGCGGCCACCTCCAGCTCCAGCTGCAGTATGGACAGTAACTCGCAGGCCGGGAGCACTGCTGGCCATGCAGTTATCACAGGAGCTCAGTTGTCAGTGGCGTTCAGCAGCGCAGACTGAGCCCAGAGCTCAGCCCACAGAGCCTTAGTGCCCTATTCCCATAAACAGAGAGTTCGACACGACCTTCCTATTCTTCTCCTGTCACCTAGTGACATCTGCCCTCATCCCGCTTTCCATCATCTACAGACGGTCCGAAGTGCCTCATCCCTCCAGCCCTGCACGAGAACCCCAAAGGATAACTCAGATTAGGCGGAGCGGTTAGACTTACTAAGGATAATAGTGACCGTCTTGACGAGGCTGATCATGGTCTCCTTGTAGCGGGGGTGGAAGCTGGTGTGCTTGGACATGCGGGTCATCTTCCTCTTGACGTAGATGAAGATGTGGGTGTACACGACCACCATGATGAGAAAGATGACCAAGTTGGAGACGGCCCAGAAGGTCAAGTAGCTCCTGCTGTAGAGCGGCGCCATCCTGGAGCACTTGTCCAGGGCGCAGAGGCAGTGCCAGCCATAGGATGGGATGAGCCCCAGCAGCAGGGCCGTGACCCAGATACAGAAGATCAGGATCATCACGCGCTGGTTGGACATTTTGCTGTGTAACTGCATGGTGAAAACAGTCTGGTGTCTTTCCACAGCGATRGCCAGCAGGTTCACCACCGAGGCGGTCAGACTGGTGTCCAGCAGGCTCTGGCGGATGAACCAGGTCTTCAGCGAGAGCTCAGCTGTCCTGGGCCCTGTGTGGAACATGAGGAACATGTAGGCAATGCCAGCAAAGAGGTCAGCAGCCGCCAGGTTCCCCAGCAGGTAGTAGATGGGGTAGTGGAACCGCCGGTTGATGACGATAGCCGTGATGACCAACAGGTTGGTGAGGAGCACAATGACGCTCACTGTCAAGCCCAGGGCGACCACCAAGACATCCTTTGTCCTCCAGTACGTGGTCAGCTCCTTGCGGCTGTTGTTGTAGAAGAACCCCACGGTCTCATTGTAGAAACAGTGCTTCATCGCTGCTGTCCTAAGGATGGACGAGAGTCTCGTTAGCTCCTGCCCACAGACACGCTGAGCTCTTCCCACCCGAGGAGAGGCCGAGCGATAGAAGGGCCCTTGACGCAGACGGAGGGGAGAGCAGAGCTCAAAGCACACAGCGACAGCAGCAGAAACCACAAGAAACCATTTCCATCCTTAACACAGAACCAGGCGTCTCCTGGGCAGACTCGCCGTCCATCCCCAGTGTCACCTGGGGCTGCAGAGAAACCCCGAACACGCACGGGAGACAGGAGGGTGGCCCCGATATAACGAGCGACTCTGCCTGCCCCGGCCCAAGGCGTTTTGTGTGGCCATAGACACAACTACTGCTGTTGTCCCAGCTGTCCCGCTCCAGGAATGTGAAAACAAAGCCGGAGCGGAGAAGCTGCAGAGGGTCAGCCACGAAACGTGGCTCTGATGATGATGCAGAGCCTTTGCAGCTGCTGCGGCGCCYGGCACCGCTGCTCCTAGGCCGGTGAACACATCCGCTGTTGCTCGGCRTGGTTCTGTCTTAAAGTCTACCCTAATTCCTGGGCAAGTCCTTCTCAAAGCCAGGACAAGAGGCAGAGACTACCTCAAGCTCAGCTAGAAACCACTGCTTAGCCTGGATTAATAAATGCCGGGAAGAAGTTAGCCCATAGTGCCGTGGGGCTGGACCTTTGGAAAAGCAGGATAGTCTCCAGCTCCTCTCTAGATCTGCAAGGCATCACAAGGCTGCGACCCAAACGCCTTGAACACGGCTCAGGAAGGGCTTTTCACACCCCTTTGCAGCRCTGGGCGCTGCTGCCACAAGGCTGTACGAGCTGTTTGTCCCTAGCAGGATGCTAAGGGTTGGGTTGCAAAGCCCKTCTACTCCTCCAGCACCTTTCTGTCTCAGGAAGGAGCAAAGAGAAAGCAAGTTAATGCTGGCACCCGCTGCCCGAGCTTCTCCCGCCCCATGGGCCATGGAAAGAAGCGGCRAGTTCACCGAGCAGACTGAGCTTGTTCTATAATGGGGGTGGAAAATGCAGCACCGTGACCAGAGGGCTGAGAGCAGCCCCTGGCATTACACCCTGCAGAAATTCATGCCCCTTTCCCAGCAAGAGCTTGGGCTGCAAGGGGCAACCCCAGCACGGAGCCCGTCTGCCCGCAGCGCGGCGAGGTGACACGTTCCTTCCTTCCTCCCGGGCGTCCTGCACGCGACGTCACTGCTCCGCCGTGATTCCCAGCACAAGCGAGGCCAAGGTGCAGTCGGAGCCGCATCCTCGCGGGAGGATCCCGGCGCTCCCGGCTGCACCGCAGCCCCAGCGCGCTGCTCGGACACCTTGGGCACTTGCACCGGCCGCATGCAGGGAGCTCCAGGAGCTCGTGCGCCTGCAAACACCCGTCCTGCTCCTCCTTAGGGGCATCCTATTCTTACAGATACTGGCAGGAAAAGGAGAGGGGAGAATCGCCAAGGTGTAGGGGTGTTTAGGAGGAGATGTGATCCAAGTGCAGCCGGGGGGACGGAAACAACCAAGGAGCTTCTGTGGACACAGGGGTGTTGCCAGGTGACTGGAGTTTGGGGCTGGAGCGATGGAAAGTAACAGGAATACAAGGAAAGAAGGGAAGTTTAGGAATAGAAAATATGAGCACTAAGAGTCACGGGCAGGTAGGTGGCCACCAGGGAAGGGCATCTCAGCCGTCCTATCTGCAAGGCTCTGCTCTTGTCAAAGCTCCTTCCTCTGACCCTTTTCGAAAGCTGAAATTCCTCGTCCAGAAGGAACTCGCTGATGACACGGGGTGGATGGATTCAACTTGCTAAGGCTGCGCATGGGGATGCCTGGGGAGGAAGGCTGGGAAGAGGGACGCGGAGCCCCGAAGGACCATCCAGCCGCAGCACCAGGAGGCCCAAAGGCCATTTAGCTCCTTCCACCTTTCTGCTGTGCAGGGGCCAACATTTCCTCCTCCCCTTCGCTTAAAATAAYGGAGAATAATCTTCCTTTTGCGTGTGTTTGTGTGAAAATTAAGCATTGAGCAGCTACGACAGGTACCATAAACCTCTGGTCCAGATGACAGGCTTGCAGATTGTGGGCATTTTGGTCAAAACAGCCCGCGAGCACTTGGTCAGCAGTGCCTTCCCTAGAGGTGTGGACTTCCCAGCGATAAAACCCGCTCCGGAGCAGAGCTCTGCGTGTGGAACACGTAAAGGCAGAGAAAGGGGCCCCAGCACGAACACGAACCCTCCTGACAGCGCCTTCAAAGCTGCTTTCTGCAGCAGCCGCTTTAAAGCAAAAACTTGGAGAGTTGGCAAATCCCTCCAAAACGTAGGGAGGCCCCGAGGGCGACCCCTGAGCTGGGGCTGCGAGGGGACCCCGCCAGGTGGGAGCCCGTTTCCGCGCGCTGCACGCTGACCTTGGGGCTGTGCAGCAAGGGCAGGCGGTGCCGCCCCGCCGAACGCAACAGGCGCGCGGGGGCAAGCCCCACRGCGCGCGGGGGCAAGCCCCACRGCGCGCGGCCCCACGCCGCCCGCGTCGCCGGGGCCATGATGCACAAAGGAGCCGCTCCGTCTATTGTTCGCGGGGCCAGCACCTCCTCGCGAGGGGGGCTCCCGCTCGCGACGCCCCCCGCCTTGCTCCTTCCCCAGCCTGGTTAAATAAGCTGCGGGTGACGCCCGTGGGATGCGGGGCGACCGGGCGCCCTTCCCCGTGCGCTGCCCCCCGCGCCGCGCCGGACCCGGAGCCGCCGCCTCCTCGCTCGCCTCGGCGCCCGCTGGCGAGCCCGGGCTCCGCTCACGCCCGGGAAGGACCCCAAACGCTCCCGTTTTTTTCCCTTCCCTTGCTCGCCAAGGGGAAAACGCTCCTCGCCGGCCCGGTGCCGGGGTGCCGGTCCCCCCTCGCGAGCAGCCGAGGTTGCAGAGGGACGAGGAGCGGGCGACGGCGACTCCAATTCCCCCTAACAACGGCAGCGCGCGCCGCTCCGGGCGGAACAATGGCTCTCCGCGGCGCTCCCGGCTCCGAGCCAGCCCGTTGCCGCCTTCCCGGGTGTTTTCCCAGCTCCTTGTTGAAGCCCGGGCCGGGGAAGGTGCCGCCGCTCTCACCTGGAGGCGCCGCCGCGGCCAGCGCCGCCGCTCAGCTCGGGGCTCCCGGCCGCAGGGAAGCGGGGCGGCTCCGGCGCCGGCAGCTCCCCATTCCCGGGGCGCCGGGGCGCTTTTCCGAGGCCCTTCCCGGGCAAGGCGGCCGCCCGGGCGCCGCTGCGGGCAAGTTTGGCGAGCCCTGCGCAGCCCGGCCCTCCTTGGGTCCTCCCCTAGGCGGGCTCTGCCCGCGCTGTAACCCGAGTCCGAGCCTCCCTCCGAGGCCGGGGCCGCTTCCCGAGCGGCTGGAACAGGTTTGGTCCCGGCGGGCGGCTCGGCCGCGCGCTGCGCCCGGAGCCCCGGGGCCGGGGGGAGCGTCCCGGCGTGGTCCCCAGCGCCTGGAAGGAGGCCCTGACCTGGGACAGCTCCCGCTCCGGGCAGGCACCGCGTGCTGCCCAAGAGCCGCATCCCGGGCGGAATGTTGGGCCGGGATCCAGCCCTCACATYGCCATGGAACCCCCCTTTCCCTGTGCAGCAGGAGAGACCTGGAACTAGGGCGCTGGAAAGGGGGAGAAGGGAGAGAGGTTTAGCAGGAGCGCGGAGGAAAGGAGTCCATGGATGAGGGAAACTGAGGCAYGGGCTGGAAGAGCCTCCCTGGCTTCAACCAAGCGCAGAGCGTGGCGGAACTGGCAAAAAGAGGTCCAGCTCCCAATGGAAAGAGCTCCGGCTCCCAAAGGAAAGAGCTACAATTCCCAATGGAAAGAGCTCTGGCTCCCAAAGGAAAGAGCTCCAGCTCCCAATGGAAGGAGCTCCGGTTCCGGACTCTCGACGGCTCCGTGGAAGCGTCGAGACTTTGAGGGAAGGACCTTTCCCTTCCTCACACCTCCCCTCGCACCTTGCAGCCGCCCGGAAGGCCCTTTGGAGCCGACGGGGGATGCAGCCGCTTTGAGGTGAGACGGGGAAACTGAGGCAGGTTCCTGGCCAAGCTGCTGCTGAGGAAGGCGGCTCTCGCCGTGTCCCCATCCCTCCTTTGCTGAGCTCCAGCCCGCAGCGCCCGTGAGGGCCCATCCGGCTCTGGACATGGAAGGAGCACGAGCCAGGGGAGCGCATCCATTCCATAGAAACACAGAGTGGGATCTCAGAACCCTTGAGGGTGKCCGGGACCTCTAGGGATCACCCAGTGCCACCCCAGAGCATGGGCACAGGCTGCGTCCAAGCGGATCAGGAAGGGCTCCAGGGAAGGAGCCTCCACAGCCTCCCTGGGCAGCCTGGGCCAGGGCTCGGGCACCCCCAATGACAAGGAATTGCTCCTTAAGTTCCTGGGGACCTTTTGGTGCTTCAGTCTGTGGCCGTTTCCTCTAGTCCTATCGATCATCACCACTGCAAAGAGGCYGCYCCATCCTCCTCACTGCCTCCCTTGAGGTGTCTATAGAYGCTGMTCAGGTTCCYCCTCAGCCTCCTCTTCCTCTCCCAGCTTTGGCAGCAGGACCAAAACATTCCGGAGCTGCCGTCGGGAAGGCGGGATCGCACAACGGGATTCAGCTGAAGCGGCGGCAAGTCGGCACCGCGGAGCAGCGCCCAGACCCCCAAACAGGGTGGCAGCACCTTTGATTCTGCCCCATAGGAGCCCGGGTAAGAGGAGCATAGATTGGGTGAGGCCAGGGCACAGGCAACGGTGCTTTTATAGGGAATCAGGTACAGAAATCCTTGTCTATACCAAAAAATTACTAAAATTGCTAAAAAATTGCTAAAATACTAAAAATTACTATTGCAAAATAGTAATTTTTGCAGTCCCTCTGTCTAGATATCATCAAAAAACTGACCTCAAGACGCCCAGACTTCTGTGAAAGGAAGCGTTTCTGCGTTTTGTGGGTATCTGAAGGAAGGGAGGAACATTCAGTCGATGCCTCTGAGTTAACGAAGACGTTTGCTGGGGCCCAGTGTGCTCCTACCCTGGCTTTAATTAGCAAGAGACAAAATAAACAAAGTAAAAGACAGACTGAAAATCCCCCGCTGGCATTTGCAGCCGTGCAAACACTTAGGTGTTGATGCACGGAGCTTGTAGGTGTTCCCACAGCAGCGCCGCTGGAGTGAAGCCCAAACCCTGCAGTCCGGCCAGGAGATCAGATCCCATCCTGCCCCTCTCTCCTACATCCCTCCCTTCGGCTGCTCCGCGACACTTTCCCGTTGTCCCAGCTGGGGAGGGCTCCGGCGGGAATCCGTGGACTTTGGCCTGGAAGGAGAACAGCCCAGCCTCGTGCCAAGTAACCTGAGCTGATGCCGGCTCTAGAGCCCATCRCATCCTGGTGTCCAGTAGAGAAGCAGTAGAGAAACTTTTCCAAAGATAACAGGGACTTCAGCATCCCCTAGTCCTTATTTTTTCTTGAAGTGAAGTTGTTTTAGAAGATTGTGAGTTTAAGTTGAAACCAAGCTTTTCTGTCAAGTCTCACAGCTGTGACTGGGTCTGCTCGTGGCAACCTGCAATGGGTTTTACTGTGACCCCGCTCCTGGAATCCCAGGAATGTCCGAAGCCTCGTGGAAGGAGCTCCCTCCTCCCCGCTGCACTGCAGGGAATCACCGGCTCACACTGATACTCCCCAAGGCACAGCTGGCCCTGAGATTCCCAATCCGGAACGGGAAGCACTCCCGAGTCGGAAAAAGGGACAATTGCAGCTGAGAGCCAAAGCTTTAGGTGGCAACAGCATGTGGAGCACCCTGAGGATGCAGGAATTTCCTAACCCCCCGTGCTGCTGAAATGCAGCCAACTCTAAGGTGGAACAGGGCTGTTATTTGCAAGCCTAGAGCATCGCAGAATGGCTTTCAAATGAGCAGGCATGAAGAACCCCGTGCTCCTTGCAGCCTTGCCTCCAACAGGAATCTGCTCCCATTCCAACAAGTTAGCAACCGGCTACAATCAATTCCTCCCGCACAAGCTGCAAGGAACCTGGAAAACGCCTCCTTTCCTCGATGTTTGCCCGGGCAAGGCATTGCCAGGCTGCCGAAAACACCTTAAATTAAAGTGTGGAGATCACGGAAACAAAACATGGGGCTGGAATGTGGCACGTTGGTCTCATTAGGCAAAAAAATAAACGACAAACAGCTGAAGAAAGAGGAGCCCGAATATTTTCTCGGAGGCCTGCAGGTCTGGGCGAAGCGCTCTTACCTCCTGCCAGGTAGCTGTGGTGGAAGGGGCTGGACATGGACATGGACATGGACATGGACATGGGCATGGACATGGACATGGGCAGCGCTGCCTGCCTTCCCACCGGCACCGGCTGCCCGGGCACTCCAAGACAGGAGCGTTTGTTCCGTGAGAAAGCAGCGCGGGGAGGGAAGGGAGGGCTCTTGGCAGTGCTGTTTGCTTTGGAGCCGGGATGGTCGGGGGGCCCTGCCGCCGCTGCTCCTCATTCACACAGGAAAAAGGAGATTATCCCGCACGCAGAGAGGCAGCGCGGGAGGCACGGACTGCCCTTCGGAGGGGGGAGCTCGGCCCTGGCGGCGTCGCTTGGAGCACACGGGGATGCTCCGAGCACAACGCAGGGCTCGGCCCCGCTCCGAGATCCCCCCAGCTGGGGTTATCCCAAACAGGATTTCAATCCCAAACAGGATTCCAATCCCAAACGGGATGGAAATGCCCCGGAAGCCCAATGCGGGCAGCCCCAGCTGCAGCTCCCTTTGCAGGGAGGCTGCACCCTGCTCTAGTGCCGCTGCCCTTGGCCAGCACCCACCAAGATGAGGCCTCCCTGCAGCGCTGGCACCCGCAGGAAACCCRGGGCACCCTGCATGGCCTCGAGCTGCACACGCGTCTGCCTTTGCTTTTACAGGCATCATTTCTGAAAGCCCACTTCCCCCCGGAGCTCCGTTTGGTTTGATGTCCGACGCCTGCAGCGTGTGGCTGCGGAGTCATAAAAAGCACTTAGCATGCCTTTCTGCTTAAATCTGGGAAGGGAAAACAAAGCCGAGGCAGAGGAGCCTCCAGCCAAAGAACAAGCACACGCAGCGCAACCGCAGATGGAGCAGGAAAAAATGCAGAGAGCGTCGGGGACTAACACAGAGCTCCTAGCCCTAAACAGGATCTGAAACCTTGCAGAGAAGCAGCTTCCCACCCAGAGCTGGTCGCTCTTGGGACAACCTCGGTCGAGCGGAATCCCCAGTGAGGACAACGGCTTCTTTCCCAGTTAGGTGGAAGTTTTCTTGTGCCTATAACTGCCTTGCTGATAAACAGAACTGTGGTACTAAGCCTTGCCTTAAGAGCAGCAGTGAGGTTTTTTATGTATTTATATATATATATGCACACACATATACATATAAGACCCAAATGAAGGAAGAGAAGCACATTGTTATTGAGCAGCTTTGGCACAAATGCACCAAGTGTTCTCCATATTCAAGAYGGGCAAATTCCAACTAATTTCACATTCATATACGTTGTTTATATGCTTCCCCATTGCTCTAGGCTCCACTGACCCGTGCAGTTGCACACATAAAAAAGAAAGTGCAAAAAGGGGAAGAAATGAGAGCAGAAAACAGGAGCCGTTTGTCTCCTGCGTCCCGAGCTCCCAGCAAGAGGTTTGGAGCAACTTGCTTTTTGCTGCCTCCTCTGCTCTGCTAATTGAGGGCTGGAAGGCGCCCCTGAGAAGCAACGGAGCCAAGGACAYGACACCGCTGACGTCGCTCAGCCCTGCGGTATTCCAGACGCCTCCAAGTTAACACGCAAAGCGGGGACRGGAATCTGCCCGTTTGCCAGTGCAAAGACGGACGCACGCGGCCCCTTTTGCCGTGAACCCCCCGCTCTGGCCCAAGGCAACCGGGCAGCCCAGAGGAAGGAGCAGGAATTGGGTAGGAATCCGCTCCATGCCCTGAAAGCTCCCGGGAAGAGGCTGCTCCTGGGAAGACTGATTTGAGAGGACAAAGTCTAAGGCGCTCCCATGTTCCTGCTGTCATTCCAGCCCKCGGAATTCCAGCGCTTTGTGCTCCCGCTTCCTCAGCTCTCCAGGATACTGTTCAGGCAATTCTCCAGCACTCCCTGCTGGAAAACTCTGCATTTCTTGCACCTCCTGGCGCCCACRGACCTATTTGCAGCACCTTTCTGACAGGAGAGGGGAACAAGCTCCTTGCAGGCTTGCTGAATTTCTCCAAGGGCCCCTCTAATCCATCCTGCTCCCAATTAAACACGCAGCAATCAGATACCAACCCGCTCCATCCAACTGCTTTAAGGGAATGTTTCCTTTTCCCTTTTTTTTCCCGCTTTTAAAGAAAAGGAACGGGCTCAAATTCAGCAGGTGCTCGAGTTTTCCTAACTCAATTAGGAGCTGGGCTCCTAACCCTGCGCTCCTAAAATGGGCCTGTGGCTTTGGATTTGCTTCCTCGTGGGAAGAACGCTGCGTTGTCTGGGGAGTGGAGCTGCAAGTGAGAAGGGAGTTTCGTGCTAAGAGATCCCTCKATAGGGTTATTGTGGCTGCCGTGTCACAATTCCACGGGAAACAGCATTATCCGATGCAATTCTGCGGGAAACGGCGTGATCCAATACAATTCCATGGGAAACGGTGTGATCTGATGGGATGTCGTCCCGAGTTGGGGGCTCAGCCAGTCGCCTACCTGCGTTGCGGGAAGCGTTAGCAGCAGATAAGCTGCAGACAGGGCTCTCTGGGATGGGGAAAAGCAGGAGGAGGCGATTCCCAGGCTGAGGCCCTGCCTTTGAAGCCAAGATACCGKAGAACTTGGGATGCTCCCATTCCCACCGCTCCGTTTGACAGGCTCCGCTTCCAAAGGGAACCCCCGAGCCGGCTGCAGGAGAGCAAAGGGGCCCGAGGAGCGGAGCGAGAGCCTCCAGAGCAGCCAGATTCCAGATGCAGATCGGATCCCCGCAGCCCTTATCCGGACRGAATGAAGCTCCTAAGTAAGTGCACAGCACGGAAAGGAAACCRGGATTTCTTTAACCGTGCTCTATCCCGGGCAAACGTTGCCGTGTTCCRTGAAGACCCGAGAGCACTTGGCATTTTCCCAAGAACCCGGGGAGTGTTTACTTAAGGTGTCGCCATGCACGGTTAGCAAATACAGGAGCAGCTTCTAAAACCCCCAGGGATTTCCTGAGGCTCTGCGCTGGGAGATATTTTAGGGTTTAAAAAAATACAGAGCAATGTGTTAACAAATATACGTTCTTGCAGACATGCGAGCGTCCTATCTCTTTCGCCTAACCTGGGCAAATACCATGARGAAATCCTTAGCATTTCTGTTACAACTTGGTTTAGGAACAGAACTAAACCGTCCTCTATTGATGAGACGGGGGAAAAAAAAGGAATTAAAAAAAGGTGAATAATTTCTTGTTTCACAGGCATCACAAGATGGCAGTGCAGGACACGTCTGTGGTGCTCATGTTGTCACTGGATCTGCGGAAAATCTGAGGGTTGAAGGGTGGAGAACCAGAAAATGAGAGTTCCATAGACTTGGACAACCAGAAAATGAGGGTTTCATAGACTTGGATGACCAGAATCTTCCCATGGGCTTAGGTTCAAGGAGAGGCCGCCTTGGTGACAGCAGGAGCTTCACCCCAGAGAAGCTCAAAATGCTTCAAGAGGAAAAGAATTAATGTTTTGGAAAAAGGGTCCAGTTTATTTTGTATATGTGTTAACTGGCAAGCAGACGTACAAGGACCCAGCGCCCCTGAGCCTGGCCGGTGCTTTCTGTCCTGCTAGACTAGGGAAAAGGCCATCCATGAGAATCAGTGTTGGTTGGAGCTGCCATGAAATGACCCCTTGGGAAGCTTCTCTTTCCAGTGCCGACGCTGCAGTCTCCCCTTCCTGCCTGCACCTTTTCAGCCAGAGAAGCTGTGTAATAATCTGTATTTCCTTCCCAGGACCCCCATAAGGTGTGTCATAATCTGTGTTTCCATCCTGGGACCCCCATAAACTGTGTGATAATCTGTATTTCCTTCCCGGGACCTCCATAAACTGTGAGATAATCTGTGTTTCCTTCCCAGGAACCCCCTAAGGTGTGTGATAATCTGTGTTTCCATCTTGAGAGCTCCATAAACTGTGTGATAATCTGTGTTTCCTTCCCAGGAACCCCATAAACTGTGCGATAATCTGTGTTTCCATCCCGGGACCCCCATAAACTGTGTGATAATCTGTATTTCCTTCCCAGGAACCCCATAAACTGTGCGATAATCTGTGTTTCCATCCCGGGACCCCCATAAACTGTGTGATAATCTGTATTTCCTTCCCAGGAACCCCATAAACTGTGCGATAATCTGTGTTTCCATCCCGGGACCCCCATAAACTRTGTGATAATCTGTGTTTCCTTCCCAGGACCCCCGTCCTCGCTGCCCTTTCGGATGGTGCCGCCTCTGCAATGTTCCTTCTCCCTGCGCATTCCGAGTGCTCCGGCTGAGATGTCCTCCTCGTCCCACGGCTCTTCCCACTGCAGCAGGACGCAGGGCTGGGCCCGGCCCTTGTCCCTGTCCCTGTCGCCRTCGCTACCGAGCGTTGTCCCCCCTGAGCTTGGAGACGATCCTGGCCGTCTCCTGTGTCATCTCCAAATGCCGGAGTTGCTGCTTCCCAGCCRGGCGGCCCTTGAGGGCACGGAGCTCCGGGGAGCTGGTCCTGYTCCCCCTGCTCCCCTCCACGGTCTCCTTTGCTGCAGAGCTGCTCTCCTTAGGGCTGCCTTCTGCCCCGGGCTCTCCTGGCGTGCTGGGTGAAGGGCTGGCTCTCAGGGCCAAGCCGGAGCTCTTGGGAATGACGGGTTTCATTTTTGCCGGTGTTCGGAGGTATTTTACCGGCTGGCGGCTGAAATGGCCCCTGGGCTGCGTCCCTGCGACCGGCTCCAAATCCCTCTCTGTCTTTTCCTGCACAGGGTCCTCCAGGCTCTCCAGCTCAGAGTCGAAACTTCTCTTCATCTCTGAACAAGAAATCAGAGAGTGATCTTAGGTGCTGAGCCGTGGCTACGATGACAACAGTAAGTACAGTTGATCTGCACGACACACCTACAGCTGGCCCACGATTTCTTTCCCTAACAGAAAGCCCTTCAGCGCTGTCAGGCCAAAAATCCTCCCCCGACAACTTCACTAATCGGCAGCAATTGCAAAACAAAGATAAGCATTTGAAAATACAACAGAAATCGGGCTCGTATTCTTAATACTCTCTGTAATGCATTAAAGCAAGACCTGCTTGCATGTGGCTGGGCCTGAGAGCAGGGAAAAAGCCTCATGAAGAGCAATGGAAAATGTGCACATGCTTTTAGGTGAAAGAGGTGTGAAATAGAGACAAGAGGTGTGAAAATCAGCAAACACAAAGCAGGACAGCCTACCCCAGCAGCAYGGTCACTGCTTTTACCTGGGGCATGTGTGCTTAATGGACTGGGGGCTCTTTCCAGAGTCAGCTCGTCGATGGCTTCCCTGAAAGATGAGTTATCGGACACACAGTCCTCGTTTAAATCATGCTTGCAGGAGAAATTCTGTTGGAAAAAGCCAGGAATGGGTTTTATACGAGCCTTGGATTTGCTGTGAAGATACTGTGTGCTCCCACTTCAACCCAAATGCCGTTATAGACAAGTGAAGGGCTCCAGGAGTTGGTTTTATTAATTACAAACGAGAGTCACATTAAAAGCAACTCCTCAAAGATTTACGACACCTTTGGTAGAACTCGGTTATGCTACAGAATTAAGTAAAATGGCTTTAAAAGCATAAACCTAGTGACAGGTAATAGTTGTGTGTCTCAAATCTCACTTCCCTGCCTCTACAGCAGGGTCAGTAAGCCCAGCTCGGCGTCTGGCGGCTCTACCTCTAAAGTCACATTCTGGACTTTGTCTGCATTCCCATATCCTTCATCCTTCTCCGTGGACGCCTCGTGCGGAGGATTTTCACCCGTGGGGGCCGAGGACGCAGGCAGGTCCTCCATCCCGAACACCCTTTCGTAGTTCTGGATGAGGAACTCCACGGTCTGCGCTTGGTAGCCGGAGTCCACGAGGCACGCCATGGAGACGTCRCTCCCCGAGCACGGCCGGATCAAGGTTGGCCCAAATATTATGCCCAGGTTGTTGGGGGACATCTTGTTCTCTTCGTATTTCTCTGCCACCCTGGGGAGGGGAAACGCGGGTGTTAGGGGCTTCCTGGCACAGAGCACGCGYGGAAGGAGCCGGCACCAGGGCACCCAACGACCTCCAAAGGTCCCTTCCAACCTCCATCATTCCACGATTCGTGCTCCTTCACCTCTCGCTCTGCACGTTACCATCATCGGAAAGGCTGCTCCATGCTGGGCATTAACATTKCCTCCCTACTGCTGCCAGCTGCCAAATAGCCCTTTCTAGGACGGGTTTTAGCCTCTTCACAACTGCCTACGGGCTCTCAGATCAGGCCCCTTCCCAGCTAAGCCCAGCACCCGCTGCTCACCTGTACAGGTGGGCGATAAGGTGCCGCAGGGTGTTGTAGTTGCTTCCAGGCAACCTGCTCAGCAAGTCCTTCATGCCCTGGATGGGATCCGGAGGGAAGCCGGCCGAGTCCGCCTTTTCCTCGCTGGGTTTTTGCAAGTCTTTGGCGAGGGCGATGAGCTCGTCGTAGAGCTGGTAGAGCACCACGGGCCCTGAAAGCTGCGGGGTGGAACAAGGAGCCCCTTGGTCTGAGAGCGAGGGGGATCTCTTCATCGCTTTGCTTTTGTGAGACGTGTTCTACCTCGGCCTCACGTGCTCTGACTCCCACCAGTTCTCCYCCCCATGTCACAAAGGTTCCCTGACTCTAAGGGGCTATAACAGATGCTGAGCACTGCTAGAATTGCCACTTACCTGAAAAAAATACCTCAAAATATATAAGGCTCAGAAGAGGTGTAAGACCTGGTACTGCTTAGACATCCAGTCTCGTCATCCCTCTAAAATTATGAGCTCGGGGCTCTGGGGGATCCTAACAACTCTCAGCTATTGTTTTAATGTCACATGGATGATTATTGAACGTGTTGATGCCAGTGACGAGAAGGAGAGACCTGGAAACCTCTCAAAACAAACATGATCTGATCAGCAGCTTGGTACCTGACCAAGGAAGAGAGCAGCAGCCTCCTTTTGAAGAGACCCACCAGGTCCCTTAAATCTCCCAGCAGAGATCTGGTACCTACTTCCTTCAGGAAATGCTTCAGGACGCCAGTGATATCATGGGGCGAGTGCTCGGAGAGGTCCACCAGGTTCCTGCCGTTCTCAAAGGCCTGGCACAGCTTTTCCACGCGCGCCTTGGATCCGCTAATCCGATAGATCCCCTGCACCGGTAAAGGGGAGAGGCGTTAGGAATGTGGGATACCCGCCGGGACAGCGCCTCAGGGAAAGACATCGCGGCTGTTTGGGGACAAAAAGCAGCAAACAAACATTTCATGAAACCCGTGGAGAGATTTGTGCTGAGCAGAGCRGGCCCGTGCCGCTCACCTGCACGCCGAGGGCACGAGCCTCGATTTCGGAGGTGCATTTCACCACGAGGAAGGGAACCTCCTCCGGGAAGTCTCGGGGCACTTGCGTGAAGTCAATGCCAAAGAGYGGCACCCGCGTGGGCAGCTTCTTGTGGCCACAGGTGATCACCAGGCTCTCCAGGCACTTCTTGTGGCAGGCCAGGTAGCACTGAAACGGCACGGTCGCCCTCAGTTAGGCCTAGTTATGACCTGGTTGGGGGCTAGTTACAGCCCAGGCTTCAGCTGCGCCTGGGGCTGCCATCTGGTCATGGCAGGTCATGGCTGACTCGCTCATACGGGGCACCAGGAGTCACAGGAAACCAGTCACTGGAAGGACCCTTCATTTCCACAGTCCCTCGGGGGATGATGATTACGAGTGGCTCCCACCCAAGGGGTCTACAGGGTTGAGCTGCAGCCCTCACCTCCTCACACTCGAAGCCGTTGACCATGAAGGTGTCGCATTCCCTGCACTTGGAGGGACCCCGGAGCTTCCTGAGCCGGTGGCTCTGCGCTGCGCCGGAGAGCAGGAGGTTCCTGAACTGCTGCTGGTACATCCCATTCTCTGGGGAGACAGTATTGAAGGGTGAGAAGGAACTGAGCATGAAGCACAATCAGGCCCCAGCATATCAGTGAAATAYCTCTGGATTCTCACCGTTTTCCGAAGTTTGCAACGAATCCCTCTCTTCAAAATCATCAGAGGAGGACATGGTGCCAGTGGATGGAGCTTTTAGCAGCTTCCTGCTAGAATTGCCTTGAGACACGAGAAAATATGAACCGTTCTTCCCTCCTTCGCAGTGCACAAAGGAGCTCCGTGTACTTTACCCCCGTTTTAGTTTCCCGGGGCCCTATTAGACAGGAATTCTCACCTGGGCTGGAATTGGGAGAGTCCAGAGACTGGGATTCGCAGCTGCCACCGAGGCTTTCTGTGTCGCTGCAGAGGGACTTGCTGATGCCTGCAGAGAGGGGACGCGGTGACAGGCCACCCCAAACACCCCCCCAGCTGAGGCACCCAMTGATGCCCCTGCAGGGACGTTTATTCCTCTCAATTATTTCAATAAACATCTGCTTGTCTGTGACCGCCCTTTAAGCCCAAAAACAGGCAGGTACATGATGGACTGAAGCAGAAAGCTACTCCAGGAAAGCTCGGCTTTAAAACACTTTCAGGAGATGTCCTTTTGTATTAGAAAAAAGCTTAGTTTTCACTCTAGAGATAGGTGTATTCGAGGTGCCTTTAGATAGGGAAATAAGTTTTAAGTTTGTAAAAAAAAAAAGCATTTTTCTTTGCTAGAAAGATGTAGATAGGCTGAAGAGAGGACAGGGGTGAAGCAGTGGTTGTGAGGAGGTCGAGGGCCGCGCTGCAACATCCCAGTTCACCCTAAGGCAGGACCCCTCAAGCACATAAGACACATGCAGGTAAGAAGCAATAAGGGTCTAAGTTAAGGAATATTAAGGTCTATTAAGGAAGAGATTTGGGGGGATCTGAATTCTTTCACCCAAAAGCATCATCCGCTGAGGCCGCCTCCCCTAATCGGAGCGCAGCCTTAAGCACTGCCCTGAGGACTGAGCCTATCTCCCAGCTTGTTTTGGCTACAGCAAGATATATCTTAAACTACAGTGACTGGAGGAAAAAGAAAGCCCAAAGAGGTGGGTTTTGCTAGGCCAAACCTACTCTGTTCACCCTCTGGGGAGAGCTGCCTTCGTGCTGCGTGTTCTGGAGCACTTGTGTCCTTGGGCACCCAGGAGGCTCCGGGGTAGGGCAGGGTCTGCTGCTTCTTGCCGCTCGAGGAGGCCCTGGGGAGAGGTCACAACAGCCTTGCAAGGAGCTCACGCGTTTCTGAAAGTGCTTCTGCATTTTGTTCTCTACAGCTCCACCGTTTCTATCCACAGGAGAAGGAGAGAGCATAAGGCAAGCATCGCCTGTCTGCAAAAAGAGTGATCTGAATCTTTGCAGTCAGCAGTGCTTAAAATTTATCCTTTTTCCCCCTATACATTATATAGTTTCGCCTTTAAACTAGAATGTAAGTTTTCCCCTCTTTACTTTTTATGTATTTATTCATTTTTTACCTCTGCCCCCCAGAAACAAGTGGCTCAAATTCAAACACCTCCATCTGAACTTCCTTCTTTGGCAGAGCCTGAATGAATTCCAGGTATTTCTCCCCGACTTTGTAAGGCCTGCAGACCTCAGTGAGATGCTGGTAACCCACTGGAATCTGCTCCGCCTGACTCTGCCGCTGCTTGAACATCCTTAATGTAACCTGAAAGAAATAAAACAAACAGAAAGAAAGCATTGGAGGGCAAAGCAGATAGGATCTTCCCTCCCTTGGATAGCTCTGTACTTCATCAGCCTGCAGTTTTGGTGATCTGCACTTGTGCTTGTGGATAGTTTTGCTTAACAGTATAGAAAAAAAGAAGAAAAAAAAAAGTCACTTTTTTTCCCCCTTCCAAGTCTTCTCCTATGGGTATCTACAGTCTCAAAGCAGCAGTGACTGAACATAAACCTAAACTGTTTGAGAATGGTTTTTACCTGTAATTAAACCATAAAATAGTGAAGGATGCGGTGCTCTTAGCCCGAACAGCAGCTTCCCTGAGGCTGGTATTGGAGGAGAAGTTCAAAAGCGGCACCTACCCATGTCAGCACCTCATCTCCTTGGTAAATGAGCTTCCGAATGTGGGAGACGATCCGGGCGCGCACTTTCTCCAGCTCCTGTCGTCGGAAGTTGGCCTCACCGATGCACATCCTGTACAAAGCTTCTGTTTCTTGAACCTTCGCGTGGGGAGACACAAAGCAAGCGAGGCGCGAGCCCTCAGGACCCGGGTGCGGACTGCAAATTTGCAATTGGGGCGCAAGTGGCACCCGAATGGCAGCGCGCGGGCRGCGCCGTGCTGCGAGCCCGTCACCTTGGCCTGCGCCTCCTCGCAGGAGCGGCGCCGCCTYTCCAGCTGCTTGCTGGCGCTGCCGGGCTGCGCGCCGCCCGCGCCCGGCTGCCCGTCCTCCGCCTTGGCGCTCAGCTGCTTCGCCTTCTCCAGCTCCTCGCAGCGCTGCGCGTACTGCAGCCGGCACTTGCGCAGGGACGACAGGGAGTCATTCTGCACGCGCGGGAAAGAGCGCGGAACCGCAGGATGGTTGAGGTTGGAAGGGACCTCTAGAGATCATCCAGTCCAGCCGCCTGCTCTAGCAGGGACACCCAGAGCACAGGGTGGCACCCAAGGTAGGCTTGGAAGATCTCCAGAGAAGGAGCCTCCACAACGTCCTTGGGCAGCCTCTTCCAGGGCTCTGTCACCTAAGGCAGGTTGAGAAGATCTCCAGAGAAGGAGCCTCCCTGGGCAGCCTGTGCCAGGGCTCTGTCATCCTCACACCAAACAAGTTCTTCCTCACGTGGAGATGCAACCTCCTGTGTTTCAACTTGCACCCATTGCCCCTTGTCCTGTCACTGGCCACCAGCGAGAAGAGCTTGGCCCCTTCCTCCCTGCATCCTCCCCTCAGGTATTTGCACATGTTGATCAGATCCCCTCTCAACCTTCTCTTCTCCAGGCTAAACAGGCCCCACTCGCTCATCTCTCCTCACATGAGAGCTGTTCCAGGCCCTTAAYCATCTCGGTTGCTCTRCRCTGTCCCCTCTCTAGCAGCTCCACRTCCCTCTTGTCCTGGGGAGCCCAGAGCTGCCCYCAGTGCTCCAGGTTTGGCCTCCCCAGAGCAGAGCAGAGGGGCAGGATCAGGATCCCCTCCCTGCCCTGCTGCCAACGTCCYCCTGATGCAGCCAGGAGCCCCTTGGCCTCCTCRGCCACCRGGGCCGTGCTGCCCCATGGTCACCTTGGTGTCCCCAGGACCCCCRGGTCCCTCTCCATGGAGCTGCTCTCCAGCAGCTCAACCCCTCATCTGTGCTGGTGCCTGGGGTAAAAACAGGTGTAGAAACCTGCTAAGGGAGCAGTGGAACCGCACACAAATCGGAGCGGCCACGGGAGGTGGCAGGACCTGGCAGGTAGTCCTAACAGAAGGGACAGATCTAGCTTTGGACCTCTTACCATCCTCTTCTGCTCCTTTAACCACTGGTCTTTGAACTCCTTCCTCCACTTCTCGATTTCATTCTTCTTGGCTGACAGGGGCTGAAGAGGAACAACGGTTACGACAGCAACAGGTCCTTACRAGGTAGGAAACGTTTCTGACAGATAAGGCCGTGACATTAAAAAAAACCAAGATTTGCAAGATACTGCATTCTTGAAACTTAATGCTTCCTTTTCCCTCAACTTGGTGTGAATTCTCCTTTTTTTTTCCTCCCTCAAACTAAAAGTATACCACTTCTGTTCGACCTTTTTAATGCTCTAACAACTGCCTCTGGCCAATCTGCCAGCAGAGCRGTGGAACCGAAGCAGAAATGCGTTACCTGGTAGAACTCTTTCTGCTGAAGCAGTCCTACAGTCTCAGTAGCTGCGTTTCCCACTGCAATGTCCTGCTCCAGGAGCATCGTGTAGAGGGCCCGCAGAGGCATGCTGGACTGCAGGTACCAAGAAAAAAAGGTGGATTCAATCGCTGGATACTCAGTGCAGCTTTTCCAAATCAAAAACATATCTTGTGTCAGCACGATGTAGAAAAGGACAAGTATCTACACTGGTTAAATTAGGTTAATTGCACAGGGCGACAGCCAGCCCTCAGAGCCGTGAGGAAGGACCCCTACCTGGTGGGTGATTGCATTCCTTCCTGATTCCGCTATCTTCACAATCCCTTTGGCAAAGTCTGTTTCTGTGAAGGGGAAGGGCGGGTTCAGTGCTGGATTTACAGCAGCACTGGCCTCTTGTGCAAAGCCAGAGCCCCTTTCAGCCAGCGCGGCAATCAGGGCACCCTAAAAGTTCTGAAGGAGGATGCATTTCTTCTGCAGATGACAGGAAAATCTCACTTATGTTCTCATCTTTATATTCAGCCAAAAGCACATAAAAGTGTTGGTGCTTAAGCCTGGTTTTCACTGGAGCATTTTCATGCACAGCTGTKTGCTCCAGCCCTCCCAATTACCTATGGAAAACAAGCAAAAAACCCCAAAGCACAAAAATTCTGAGCWGCTCCAGCGCACGCTGACGACTCACCGTAATTCAGACGTTTCTCCATCCAGCTAAGAAGCTCTTTTACATATTTACACCACATTTTGGCGTATTCAAGCGCTGCGTCGATGCCACCTTCACATTTTCTCAGCAATTCATCTGCCTCCTCAACTGCAAAAATAAATCCAGACTCAGAATGGCTCCAGCTGGCAGGCAAAGGCTCCCCCAAGAGTGGTAAAACTGGAGTCTCCTTAATAGTTGGTGCKGAGAAACCCTAAAGCCATAAAATAAGTCTTTTATGTTCTATTTCATGGCAATCTCATACAGTCTCAGCTACAGAACCATGCAAGTTTCCAGCMGTTTAGACATGTGGATCTCCTTCTTACTTTTTATTAATATTTTGATTTATTTATTTTTCTTCCAGATCAGAAGTTAAGGATCTAATGCATTTTGGGGTGACAATGTGTGTATTGGGGAAAAGCAGTAATTAATCTATTCCTTGGCAGGATTTAAGACAGCTCCATCACACTGTAGTGAGCAATTCTTAAACAATTTCAAGTTAAAATTTGTCACCAAACGCTCAGAAAAATGTGGTTTTCCTCATATAAAGTCTCCATGAAGCAAGAAAGCTTTTGTGATGCGTCTAACGATGCTAGCAGCAAGTGCAGAAGAGATGTCACCTTTCAAATGTCCTTTCATTGAGTTACCTGTTAGATCTGTCTGCACTTGCCTCTCTGAACGGCTTTTGCTCTCACAGGAACCTTCACTCGGCTGGAGTAGGGGGGAAAAAGAGAGGCAAATGGTAAAGGAAAACGAGTATCCAAAAGTTTAGAGGAGTTTTTAAAATGGTAATCTGCATAAAAAAATAGATAAATACATAAATAAATGCATAAATAAATAAACAGTGGTTGTTTTACTTACCTAAGAAACCCAATGCAGTTAGAATAACGGGCCGAGGTTTGACAAAGGGAGTGTAGCACGGCATAAAAATAACAAAATATGGAGGGAACAAGCACAGCATCTACACAGAGGCATTAGGGCCAGCCAAGGACTGCTACGACTAAAAGTTTCCAGCTCTTGTTTTATCACAAATCTCAAAAGATTTAATATTTTCCTTCAATTTTAGCTCCTGGGATAATGCAACTAAATGAGAACACTGCTGCCCAATAAAGACCTAACCTATTTCCAGCACCTTTATCCCAATAAGTGAATATGAAAACATGATTTGCTCTCTACTCCAGTAAGTGACGTAACTATTTTTCAGGTGGTCACCACAAAGATAATTTGAGTTTCTTTTCATAACACAGAACTCATTTTTTTGCCTACCGGGATGATCTCTCTTTCTGGGGTCAAGTCTGTGTGGTCAGTGCCATCCAAATCACCGATGAACATATCAGCRGTCCTGTTAAAATACAATACAATATAACTACAATTCGATGAGGCTGTAACAACCCAGAAAACCAGTTCTCCCCCATTTCTTTACGTACGAATTTCCAATGGAGATTTCTATGGCATCCAGACTCCGGAAAATCTCACTGTACCGCTTCCTGTTTTCAGGCATTCTCTCTTGGCTATCAAGACCTGGAGTTGGAGAAGAAATGGGTTCACTAAAGCCCGAAGCTCCTAGTATCTACAGCACCGTTCCTAAGGATGCAGTGGAATCCRGCAGAGCTCTTCTATCCTGGGTGGATCTACAGGCAAGTGAGAACTGCAGTGGTTTGGTAAAGCATAACACRGGATGGCAAAATCCCATAAATCCCAATGAGATGGGATTTAAAACTATATATCTCTTGGAAATGGTCTATTTGCAAGTCAATCATGATCCAGGAAATGATCAGCCTCGTATGGGGAAGTCAGGCCCAGGTGAGCAGCGCACGTGCAGGGCTGCGTTGCCCGAGCTGTGCTTTCCTTGCACGTCCCACGCTCGGGTCGCAATATGTTTGTGCCYAGGGACCGTTTCTCAACCTCACGCCTGCTTATTTGTGGTGATAATCTGCATCACTTTCAGGCCTCGGTGCAGTTTATTGGGAATGCAAAGCATAAAATGCACATGCATCTGCGTAAGGGCCAAGCAAACTCTGCCAGCAGCTGGATAAATAGCAGGGGCGACGTGAGTATAGACATTTTACAAGGGCTGATCCATGCGGTTGATCTCACTTTCCCCTCAGTCCTGCGTTGCAGCTGAGGGCAGAAACTACAACTRACTCAGGTGGAAAGTTACTGCAGAAAAGAAAACAAAGGAGAAAAAAAAAATGTAATTTGGCCCTTTTGATGTGAGTAGAAGAAAACTTCATTCTTCTTTTGTCCCCTTGATATTCCAGGAAACAGGATGTGGTTGACCTAAATCTAAAGTTGCTTCACTGGTAGTTGAGTCTTTTGACAGTGAGCAAATACTTGTGAATGTCACTCAAACGGTGCCTGATGGAAAAGTCAGTTTGGGTCTCGTTTACCTCTAGTTACGCCTGGGCCTGAAAAATGCAGATTTTCAAGTCAGGTTTTTATTAGGAGCTACAATTATTAGCCTGAAAATAAAAAATAATAAAGCACCGAGGCCTGAAGGAGGCCACTGAGGCATTCAGCATGGCTGTCCTTGCTTGAAGAGCCTTAAAAGGAATTTAAAAGCCCCAGAGGAGCTAAGAATGACCTGGGAATGTCCCCACCACTTCACTTTTCCCGAGGAGATACTTTTCATACTTCATTTCTCTTGTTTACCATAGCAGAGGCAGGAGGATTGTACAACAGGAAGACGTGACTCAACTCAGCAGCACTAGCAACGGGCAATGTGCGAGCTGCTGCTTTTGAAGCTCAGGTTACAATCCTTATGCTTTATCTTAGGTAAGAGAATATTATATATATTGCTACAGAGGCAGAAGGTTAGAAGAACGCCAAATGAAACCTCTTGCCTTGACATATCTGATGTTTTTAAATGCCTCCTCACAAGGCTAAGCAATACACTCGCCCGTGTGCAGTCCCTTTGCTATTCAGGAGCAAAATTTGTCCTCATCTATTTGGAATCTTCCAAGTGGCTGTTGGGCACAGCCAGACCTGGGCCAAATGCACAGAGTAATGCATGAAAACTGGAAATAAATAAATAGTAAATGATTGGTTTCCTGCTGCCAGACTCAAAGGCCTGAACATAGTTTACTTTGATGGGCACAATTATCCCAGATAAGGACAGATGATGAAACTAAGAGTGGGACTACCCAAGCACCTAGCAGTTTTATCCTAAAGCAAAAAATTGGCTTGAAAAAAATAGTGTTTTATTGCCACAAGGATATACAATAAGCGTTATCTTCATCTCAGAGTTGGCCTGCAAAAATCCCTGGCCTTGAGGCCAATAATAATTAGATTCTAAATATCAGTGTGATATCAAATGAAAATAGTGCAATTTTTTTTTTGCATTTTGCATTTTTTTTCTATTTTGCATCCTTTGCAGGTGATTTTGCTTAGTTAATTCTTACTGTCTGTGACACTAACCAGGCCTAATGATGGAGCAGAAGTCCCCTGCAGCATCATCAACGGACTTGCAGGCTAAAGAAAAATGTATGTGTGGCTGCTGCAGGCGCCAGAGCTGTCCTGCCGTCCTGCAAAGCTCTGCCACATCCTCGGGTCTGGAATGAGCTGCAGGGACCGTCTGATCTGCATTTAACTTCCTAAAAATGTTCCCTGCTCTTGGCCTCCTCCTGCTGCCGTGGGGCAGCAACCCGGCTCCCCCCGGGCGGGTGCAAAGCAGCAAGAATATTTTTAGAAGAAGTTCTCGTGGTGCAGATTAGCAGAAGCAGCACTTCCCCATCGGCCAGAGTCACCATGAGACGAGGTGCATGTCCACCCCGTCTGCTCCTCGCTGTGGTGCTGAACCCAGTCTCACAAGGCTGAGTCTCACAAGGCTGGCTCCGAGGTCCTGCTCCTGCCTTCCTCTTTGCGCTTAAAGCCCCAGCTTGCAACACAGCACTTGTTTTTTCCACTGGGTCAGCCCTCCCGTTTCTGCGAGCACAGTGAAGCTTCGCGCCTCCTGCCTCTGCTGGGACCTCATTCCAGCATTTCCCACTTCATAGGTCGTTTTGGAAAGGGTTTTCCATGTGCACAGCAGCACTCGTGCCTTTAAGCAGCAGCTAGCTAAAACCACGGCTTGCTAGGCCACGATRTGAATTCAACCAAACAGAAAATTCAAGGTGAAAACTCTCGAGTTGTCTTCTGCTGCCCCTGTCTGAAATCCAAGATCCCTTCCCATATGTCACTCCTTATTTCTATTTTCTTCCTATTTCAATGGAAAAAAAAAGGCCCTAGGGAAAACAAAACAACAACAAAAAAAAACAGAACCTACAAAGCAACTAATTCTTTARGAGGCCAGAACTGATACTGAGCTGCGCAGTCACCCACAACTGGCAGGAAATAGACTGGCACGGTTGGGTGTCTTAAATAGTAGTATATATCAAAAGGGCRCTTAATGAAACACGTCATGGAGGAAAGGAGAATTTCCACTGAATACATCAATTCATTAAAAAAAAAAAAAAAAAGGTCCAGACTCCAAATATTTCTGAGATGCCTGACAATAGAAATTAAGCACTGGTGCAGTAGTCTGCAAGATAAAAATAATGTAATTATTCTGCTATTTTCCCCCTAACGGTAGCTGAGCTGTGTCTTTATAGATGGTGGGTTTCCCACTTTTTTTTAAAATTTGATTAATAAACCTTGCATTTTAAGTAAGGATATATATATTAAACTTCTAGCTGCTTGCCTCTTCAATATTAAGAATAAGGAAATGTTAGTTATGGTAAGAAACATTCCCATTGGCAGTGAAGGGTAATTCTTGAGGGATATCAGAACCCGATTCCTGCTCTTCAGTGAATTTATCAATGATGAAGTTTATATCAAAAAATCTTTCCTAGTAAAGTGCTCGATGATTGTGAGGTTGTAGACCCAATAACAAGGCAGACAACCGCTTATTGTAGAGTGTTTAAGTGGCCTCAAATGATTTTCCTCCAGTGCAGAATGTAGCTGAACGRCTTCAAATCAGCCCTGGTTACAGAGAAGACTGTCCAGAAAAGCAGATGGGCCCAGGAACAGAGCCAGGCTGCAGGGGCACCGCTGGGAACAGAGCTCCCGGGCGAGCTGCGGGTCCGTGCGAAAGGGGAAGCCGGAGCAGAAACGGGCTCTGCCTCTGCCCGCGGCCGCCGCAGCTGCGGAAGGACGGGGGGACGTTGCTGGGGACACAGGAGCAGCCTGGAGGGGAAGGGGGGGCACCAAGAGAGCCCCAGTTCGGTTCCTCACTTTCCTGCGGGTGAGCCCAAGATATAAACATTACTACTAATGGCCTTTCAGTTTTTGTGACAAGGTCCATTGGCTTATTTTTTCTAGCTGCAAGGCTAAAAATGTGTTTGAATGTTACCACATGKGAGGGTACTAACAATAACTTGTTGTATTTCCTTGATTACAGATCCACTGAGATTTTTCACCTCTCTCTGAGGCACCAGAGATCATCCCCTGTTAAACATGAGGCTCTGGCAGGAGGGCATCGAGCTCTCAGGTAGGGCAGAGGATTCTTTTTAGGGGTACAGAGAATTCTTAGAGGCTTGGTTGGTGTCATTTAGATTCCAACTGATTATCAGAAAGAGACATGCTCAAATTGGATGAGCAAGGGCATTGGTGGCCCTTGCCACCCAATTTGTCCAGCTAGAGGGACAAATGCATCTAGATGCAACACACAGCAGGGAGCAGGACTTTGCAGCCTCGTGTGCTTAGTCTTTGCTTCTCTATCACCCCTTCTGTTGTCACTACAGGACCGACCACCTTTAACTGCTCCAGCCCCAGGTGCAGATCAGTCCTCCAAGGAATGAAATGCTTCAATATTTGGCTCTAATACTGCACTGCAGAGGGGAAGCCTTCTCCCATCTCCTGAAGCCACGGAAGATCTCCTGTTGCCCTCTGATATGAGCCATATAAAGCATAGCAGGCAAGCRAATTGCATTCATAATTAAGGCTGTCACCTTTCAGAACAAGGGTTTATGGGGAATTTTTGGCAAAATGACTTGAACTAGAGATATACAAATACTAGCATATAGTCTCCAGATCTCTTAAAGAAAAGCAATGTAGCTTCTGACACATGAAGTGCAGGGGTGCAGGGTGCATCCTTTCCTCTTAAGAAAGTCAAAATGTGATACAAATACATCAAATAACCTGCCAAAGATTCAGTGAACTGAACGGCCAAGATCCTCAGAGGAACCCCCTAAAGAGCAATTACAGATGTATAATACCCCCATTTGCTGAGTGCTTTACGAGCTGATCTGTCTTACGTCATATCATTTAAAAAAATCATCCCGAAAGGTTACACTCTAAACAGTACCAAGCTGCTCCCATTGCCATCACATACCACTTGGTTCTTGGTCTTCCATGGCTGAATCCTCAAGGTTTTGGTCTGAAAGCGGCAGAATCCCAAATTCCCCAGCTTTGAATCACAGCCACGTTAAGCAAAACACCAATCTTTGACCAGACGARATGGCGGCAAATTATCCGGGGGTAATTAGGCACTGGTATATCCACAAATTATCCACTGGTAGCTGCGTGTGCGAAATACTGGGCAGAAGTGTCTGTGAGTGAGCGCGGCTGCCGTAGCCAACCTACTTCCTGCAGACACCCTTCCGCGTAAGGAAGCTGTGCAGTGCACATTTGATTAGCCAATTTGCATAATTCATCTCTCTTTTGGTTAATAAGGACGAAGGGACCGCTTGTGGCCCTCAACTTCAGCGCTTGCCCCTCTCACCRCAGCYCAGRTTCCTCCTTCCACACAGGGAGCCCTGGCTCGCTGGTGCCTGCAGAAAACACCACGTTTTGTTTCTAAATGCACCCAAAAAAAGCTCCTGAGAAACCATCAGTGATGAGGGGAAAGGGTGGCAGCAGGTTGGGTTTAAACGGGTGACAGGAGAAGGGAGGGGATCAGCAGCTCCGGTGGCCACCCTGGAGCTTTACTGCCCATTCAGCACCAGTGCTTATGTCTGTGAACTGCTGGGCCTCCAAAATATTACCAATTTCATCCAAATTCGTCTGCCACAGGTGAGGAGTTGCCACAAGCCACATCACAGGCTCTTAGTCTTCTCCGGAGCGATGGACTTCGCGTGAGGCCAGGAGGAGCAGGTCTGGGGTTGAAGGTAACGGGAGAAAGGGGCCCAAGGAGCCTCCTCGGTCACAACCTTTCCAAATTTGCTTCAGCCAAACTGAGGTTCGTACGTTTTGACAGTTTATTCTGTTAAAAAACACCACCTCCACCAAACAAAAATCCCCAAAAGGCCAAAAAATACCCCAAACCAAAAGAGTTAGTAATGTAATTGAGTTAGTAAATGAGTTAGTAATGTAACTTGTAGTGACGAAACGGTGAGATGGGCAATGRAAGACACCTTTATTCAATATATAGAAATGTATAGTGAGCAGAACCTGGAGTGGTTTTTATGCACTTATTAATGAGAAGCATATGGAAAAAGAAGTGTTAAACTTGCACTCACCAGTGAAGCTCATCCTTTTTCTTCACTAAGTTATAAAAAATTTTAAAAATAGCAACTCTCTCTCCAACATAAAAATACAGTATTGCTTCAAAAGTGCTAAACCCACACTACTAAATCTCCCTAATTTTACTTCTCAGTATGAATGAAACCACCCCTAGCTGAGCTTTTGTGGTGTGTGGAGCATGGGAAATCACTGCTGGTTMCTTGGGAGTCCTAGAGCCAGTCCCTCTGTCCACTAAAATATGGAATTCACATGGAATTTTGCAGTTGTGGGTTGTGTTTAGGTGTCAAAGGCACGTGTGGGTACAACTGCTGGAGCCCGGTTAAATGTTAAATGTTGCTCACAGCTTTCTGTGTTCCCAAATGCAGAGCTAGGAACGAACAGCATGGCGTTTCCTCTGTCACCCTCCTCTTCCTCCTTCTATTCCCCCCATCCTGCTTTCTGACTCTGAATATCCATATGCAATACGGATATTCATTGCATTTCTGTATGGGTCTCTTATTTAGCGTAATGTTGCTAACAAGCAAAACTGTTGGGTTAGGCGAGTTGCAGGGAATATTTTGCAAAATAGTGCAAAGGAGTATTTGCACTAAAGGGTGCAAATTCCAAGCCCTCGAATGACCTTTTTTCTCTGCCATACTTCTAAATAATAAGGATTGAAAGGGTCAGGGATTGTCACGGGTGCCACTAGCTCAGGCTGCCCCTTGTTCTCAGCCCCGCGGCGTGGTTCCTGCCAGTAGGATTTGTCTCCACTGTTCCCACATTCTGCTTTTTTGGTCAGGAAAAAGCCTCCCAGGGGAAAAATCTCCCCCTTTTGCCCAAAATACATCCATAAGCCTTACGGCTTGTGTTTGGAGGAAAAAAAATATATGAAAAGGGGCACAATGGGGAAAAAAAAAGAGCTTGTTTCTCTTGATGATGTCAGCACGGCGGTACTTTCTATTGCTGGCAGTTTCACTTTTCACAATCGCTCAGCGCCTGCTGCTTGGCCAATGAAAGAGCCACTTTCTGCTTCGAGCCCAGCAAAATACGGTGGGTAAACACGGACAGGGCACACATACTGTGTTCTATCAGACATATATCACCTATACGTTTACACTCAAACCCGGCAGCCAGGGCTCTKGACTGTTCCTCCCAATCATTTGTTATCACTTCTCCTTCTTCCCTCTGCTACCCGTTGAACTTGCTGGGTAAAGAGAGGAAGGAGGGTGAGAAAAGGAGCTGAGCAGGCTGCCCTCTCGCTGCTTCTCTGTGTCYGAACACACGCCTCCCTTCTCACATCCTCCATGGAGCCAAAGAAGTTCTTAAAACCCTCAGCTCCTTCCCCACCTGCGCTACAAGAACAMGGGAGAAGTGAGTGAATGAACTTTAGTCTTTCACGGGTTTGCTGCTTTTCAGCCTTTTTATTATTTTTAATGGAGATGCCTCTGCCTTCAATCTGCAGACTCGTCCACTGAGTTTTTGTGTGATCCCTCAAATCCTCCTCAGCCCCCAAAGGACCTTCCTAGTTGGCTTCATACAAATCAGCCTCAACTAGAAGGTGAAGCAGAGAGCTGCTCATTCGAGATGTGACCTGGCCTTAAGGTTTCCCTTCCCCAGCCAGTGCTTGCAGCAGGAGGTGAGGACAGGCAAGTTTGGGTCCTGCCTGCCGTGCTCTTACCCTTATTTATGCTCTGGATTTCAGCGGCACGAAGGAAGGATCCCTTGCAAGAAGTATTCTTGAGGTTGTCCTGCTTGAAGACTTCCTATCAACGTCGCTTTGCTGCTCATGAAGCCACCTCGTCCTCAGCTCTTGCATGAACCTGTCTGGGATGTGAACTCGCAGCGGGACCCCATCACAGTCGTGTGTTACCAGCAACAGGAGAGAAGGGGTTTCACCCACTCGTTCCCCCAATGCCGCTCGCAGCAGCTGCTTTTCTTCTAGGTAATAAATGAACAGCAAAGACTTCACTGTGAAACATTTTACTATAGCAAAAGTATCCTGGAGTCAGGAAAATTAAATGCAATTTAGCCAGGCTCAGAATACCCTTAATATACCAAGCAATTTTGCAGATACCAAAAACTGTGTGTCAAAATAGGATGAGTTTGTYTCAAAGCAATTTTCCCTTCTGAAAAAGAGCACGTTTTTAAAATACCGATGGATGTTACCGAACGCATCTGAAAAGCCCAGTTTTTCTGCTGTATTTCCCCCCCATAAGCTGACTCGTGCTAAGGGCGCTCASAGAGAACCTCGGGGACCAACAAGGAGCTAAACGGGCTTGTGTCCCCGAGCGGCACCGCGGCCGGGCTGAGGCTAGGGAAGGCCGTGGCCTCCGGAGCCCGTGGCAGCAGAGCCCCCCTCTTCCTCCTCCTCGTCCCGCGTCTTCTTGCCCAGCTTGTACTTGAGGCGCCGCACGGGGTCGGTGAGGCTCCTCCGGGCCACCTCGTCGAAGTCCTCGGCCGCCAGGAAGTTCCTGTCGACGAGCGCGGCGGCCTCCTGCCAGTTCTTGAAGCAGGCGGGCCCCGCGCGCCGGATCTCCTCCACGGCGTTGGCGGCGATGAGCCGCCCRTCGGGCGCCAGCACCACCACGGCCGGCACGGCGGCCACGGCGAAGCGCTCCGCCAGCTCCCTGCAAGGCGACGGCGCCAGGAAGCCTCGGAGGCCCCGGCCTCCCTCAGCCTCCACAGAGGCTCCTTGTGGTGGGCGGCAGCTCCAGCCTCCCTCAGCCTCCACAGAGGCTCCTTGTCGGGGGCAGCAACTCCGGCCTCCCTCAGCCTCCACAGAGGCTCCTGGTGCCGGGCGGCAGCTCCGGCCTCCCTCAGCCTCCACAGAGGCTCCTCATGCAGAGCGGCAGCTCCAGCCTCCCTTGGCCTCCACTGAGGCTCCTCATGCGGGGCGGCAGCTCCGGCCTCCCTCAGCCTCCACAGAGGCTCCTCATGCAGAGCGGCAGCTCCAGCCTCCCTTGGCCTCCACTGAGGCTCCTCATGCGGGGCGGCAGCTCCGGCCTCCCTCAGCCTCCACAGAGGCTCCTCATGCAGAGCGGCAGCTGCAGCCTCCCTCAGCCTCCGCAGAGGCTCCTCGAGCTCCTCCGCACGACAGAGGACGGCGGCAGAGAGCGGGGGGCTTCGCTCTCCACCGTGCTCCAGTTGAGCCCTAAGAGGAGCCAAAGGCACCCTCAGCATTGACTCTTTAATTACAATTCTTCCTGCCGCTAATGAGGTTTCATTACACGGGGCCCGTGGCGCCGGGAGCACCTCAGCTACCTGCACGATCCTTCACTTCACRCGCTCGGCCGGCAGGAGCCTTTAGGGCTTAGACGTAAATACTGTTACGTAATAAGCATACGAATGCATTAGACGAGCAGAAAATAGAAGCAGGGGAAGCATCTCTTACTCTTTAGAAAGATGTTGGACAAAGTAGCTTTGGAAAGCTGTGGAAAGGCTCGCAAAACCAGCATGGAGTTACCGGGAAGGAACCCAAAATGGATAAATACCTCTTGAAGTCGTCCTCGAAAGGCAGGGACAGCCAGCGCTTCGGCATGCTCTTGAGGAACCTGCTCTGCTTCTCCTCCGTGTCGTCGCGCGACACGTAGACCAGCACGAGCTGCGAGGCCCTCTCCACGTAGAACTCGTCGGTGAGGCGCACGTAGAAGTCCCTGAGGAGCGGCGAGAAGGCGCGGCAGCGCGGGCACGCCGCCGCCGCGAAGTACAGCAGCAGCACCTTGTTGTCCAGGCACCGCGCCAGCTCCCGCTCCGTGTCCAGCTCGTCCCGCGCGCCGTTGTTGGCCACCAGCACCCTGCCGGCGAAGAGCGCGGCCATGGGCCACCGGCACCGGCCCCCGGGCACGCGGCGCTCCGGGCACGGCCTCCGCGGGCGGCTGCTCCGCTCTGCCTGGCTCCAGCTCCTGCGTTATTTATAAAAGCGGATTCTGGGAAGTCTTCCCTAATCCGCTTAAAGTGTGAGGTCRGTGCCTGGAGCGGCCGTGGGAGCGGGGGAGAGGTGCCGGCTGGAACGCTGCTGGGGCTGTGTGGGGATCCTGGGGCTGTGCGGGTCTCTGGATCCGTGTGGATCTCCCGGGGCCATGCAGGGCTCCTGGGGCTGTGTGGGGCTGTGTGGATCTGCCAGGGCTGTGCGGGACTCCGGGTCCATACGGGGCTCCCGGAGCTGTG